CTGTGTGTGTGGGCGTGTGCCGGCTCTGCCCCGAGCCCGCCCGGCCACCCCGCCGCGGCGGAGAGCTGGGCCCGCGCCGCCTCCCTCCCGCCCCGCGGGGTCGCAGCACAGCAGAGCGGAGACGGGCGGGCTTGTGCGCGCGCGCGCTTATGGGGTGTGTGCGCGCGCTTGTGGGGGTATGTGCCGATGGGGCTGTGTGCTTGTGGTGTAAGTGGGGGTGTGCTTGTGGGTGTGCGCTTGCATGGAAGAGTGCAGTTGTGAGGTAGGAGCTGCTAGTGTGGGTGTGTAGTGTGGTGTGAGGTGGGTGTGAGCTAGTGTGGGGGGGTGTTTGTGTGGTGTGGGTGTGTGCTTGTGTGGGTCTGGGCACTTCTGTGTGTGGTTATGTGCTGATGGGGGTGTGCTTGGGTGTATATGCGCTAGTGAGGTGTGGGTGCTTGTGCTGGGGGCTGTGCGCTTGTGAGGCATGATGGGGTGTGCTTGGGGATTTGCTTGCAGTTGTGTGTGCGCTTGTGAGGTGGGGGGTATGTGGGTGCTTGAGCTGTACATGCACATGTGCTTGTGGTATGCGAGCCAGGATCTGTAGGTGTACAAAGGACTGAGTGTACTTTACTTAGGGAAGGCTCGCTGGCATGAGTCTCCTTGCTGGGGATGCTGTCAGCACGGGAGGTGCCCTGTGTGCTGTGCTAAATAGTATTAGCAGTTCAAGGCAAGTGAAGTCAGGAAAAGGAAGTCCCAGGTGGATGTCTGGCTTTTGCCTTAGCAGTCCCTTTGGTTGCTGGCCTAACCGATCCCTGGAGGAGATAGGCTAAACAGCTGGGATAAAGGGGAGAAAGCCATGCAGGAGGGCAAAGAGAATTAAGCAATGCAAAAAAAAAAAAAAAAATCCAGAGCAAAAGCAAGTGGTTAAACCTAGGAGTCTGAGTCCTCAACCAGGCAGCTGGCATGTCATCTGAGTCTCAAGCAGCACATGTGCGAGGGTGTCACATCTACCACATTAATGCACCACGGCAAAGGATCATTTTGTTTTATTTCTCTGCAACACAATTTGCAGCACAGACGTAATCAAGAAACAAAGGGTTGAAATTCCTGGCTTCTGCCTGCTAGTGTCACAGCTGGCTTGATTTAGGTGGCGTTACTATATTAACTTCCTTTTAATGGAGAAACTTAGAAGTAGCAAATCTGCCAGCTTTCACTAACATCACTCCTAATGTTGCAGGTATTGTGTAAGCTTTCCCCACACAACTCTGCTAATAATAGACCTTTTCTTTTTCTTTTAGTCCTACAGTAGCTCTAACTGTTCCATATCCAGGCTCTCTTAACATTCCTCCAATACACCCTGTATAGGTAATAGTCCAATATAGGGTCAGCCAGGGATATGTTGTATTCAGTTAGATGCATGCTATTCTCTCATATACAATGCTATTCCAATTCTGGCCTCTTCGGTCATGGTCACATTTATTGAAATTAGTGACAAAACAATAAATAACTAAAACGTCCTCAGGGTGTTGGTTGTAGCCGTGTTGGCCTAAGGACATAAGCCGACAAAGTTCTTTGGGTAAATCTGATATCTTTTATTAGATATTTCCTCAACACCTATATCTTCTACCGATGATCAATAAACAGTGTAGAAGCTGCCTAACTCCTTGTATTTTGTACAGGTTTCCTTCGATTTATGTGGGTTCTTTATATAAGAATTCGCTCTTATGTGATGAGCATATTTAGACGCATAATTCATTATATGCGACGTAAATTCACTCTTATGTGATCATCATAGATGTCCCCTGCCCAAGTAGGTAAGTCTGTATGGGGAGGGGAAAGGGCCGTGGCCCCACTTACCCCTGCCCCGGCTGCAGCCACCCGGGGAACAGCTGATGCCCTGCTGCCTGTACCACGGCAAGGCACAGCCCAGGAGCAGAGGTGAGTGGGGACAGGCAGAGCACGGTGCAGCCCAGTGGCTGCTGGCAGCTGGGGCTAGCTGCTCCCGGGGCTGCTGCAGTCGGGACTGTGGTGTGTGCCGCTCTGTTCTCTCTGCTGCCTTGTGCAGCCCTGGGAGCGGCACCCCTTCCCTAGTCCCAGCCTCACTCCCTCCCTCACTGCCATGGGAACCTATCCCTATTTGTTACATTGTAAAGTGGATTCACTTTATGCGAATTCTGTTTATGCGCCATTCTCCGGGAGCGCACGTACAGCATAAATCAAGGGAAGCCTGTACTGTAGAGTATGTTGGGGTTTGGGGGTTTAGCAAAAGATGAGCTTTAGTGTGAAATTTCAAGTGTGCGGCTCTTGGTATTGTTGCCAAAAAGACTCCCAGAAACTTAGTCTCTATTTCAAAAATGAATTGCCTGAGGTTTTTCAAAAGCATCTAAAGGAACTGCACAAAAAATTCACTGAAGTTCAGTGAGAGGAATGTAAAGATTCTTTGCTTCCTTTAAAAATCTCAGCCTTAAATTTTATATCTTAAATCTCTGAAAAGAAAGCTTCAAGCAATGTGAAATGTATTTAACAAAAAAAGTTAATTTGAAGTTTTTCTTTTTTTTTTATTTTGAAATTTCAGGATTAAACATTTTCCAAACTTAATTTTGACAAAAATGAAGAAGAATATCAATAAAATCTTCTCCACCCCCACCCCCATTAGCTGTCCTCCTTACTGGAATGATCTGTATCTGGGATTATTTTCTGTGAATGATCATGCTTCATCATGGAATTCATAGAGAGATTATTAAAGGCATAGATAGTAATTAAGCACATACATTCTATAGAAAGTCCATAGGAGTTACGTGCTTCATTGTCATGCTTTAGAAAATTTTGCTTTTGCACTCTGCTTTGAGTAGGCAACTATATTCTAGACTTGCTGTGGTATCTTCACAGTCAAACAAAAGCCACAGCTTTAAGTTTCCCATGTTTCCTCTTTGTTAAAATTCTGCTTCTAAAGTTTAGTATATGATAAATACAGCATCTATCAGACATCCTTGGCTCAGAAACACTGTACAGAAACACTACAGCTCTGGGTTTTCTTTCTACCTGAAATGAATTTCCACTTAGGTGTTATAGCAACTTTTAATAGAAAGCCAAAAATCACTTTTCCCCCCGTAATATAAATCCACTCCATTTACATGAGTCAGCAATGAATCCTTTTTAGCTGCTGACTTTGGGCAATGTGTGTAAGGGGTGGCATTTATCAAGGGAGGTAATATGCTCTCTTTTTGGCAGCTTTAAAGTTGCATGAGGTTTTATATTCATTGCAAATTGCAGGGACTGGGTTATTTCAAGATCTCTTGAGTCTGTTTCCATACCAGGATGGAGAGTTCCACAGGTCAGGTTGCACGTAGGTGGAATTGGGGAATTGGCTATATATAGCTCATTCTCTGTTCATTTATTCACCTCTGCAGCTAAGAGACAGAGGGAGAAGCTTGAGACTTCATCTGTTCCGTCTCAGCAGTTGCTATTTTGAGCTACAGACAGAAAATGCAAGAAATCCAGCTTGACAAGTGGCACTGAATGTGCTCCTTTTGTGGGTAAGCTACATGGCCTGCTGCCTACCATCCAGTTCCCCTTCTCTGGTTTTCTGGGAGGGGTGCTCTCTGCTGTCTTCTACTGCAGTTGCTGTATTTCCCCTTATTGTAGATGCCAGCTCTTACCACAGAGGCTGGCAAGAGTAGTAGCAAGGAAAGGGGGCTACATAGTAGGGGTGTGCAAAGCGGGCCATATTCGATTCGGATTCAACCCAATTTGGGGGGCAGTGATTCAATTCACTGATTCGGATCACTGTCCCAATTTGATTCGGCTGAATCCAAATCTGAAGATTCGATTCTAATCAGTGATTCGGCCACAGACACAGCTTTATATGTTTTTCTACATACCTCGAGGTACGAGGTGCGGCTCATGAATGCTGAGATGGTGGGGTGGATGGAGCATCCCACAGGAGTACTTTCAGCCCACTTCTGGGTCCACCGCTGAGCGTGCGACTTGGTGATTGGCTGCAGGGGGACCCTGGGTGCCCCCTCAGACCCAGGAGCACAAGTCGTTGAGCCGTGGGCTGAAGGGGGGGGGTCCCCCACTCACTTTGCAGCAGACCCAGAAGTGGACAGGAAATGCTGGTCCACTTCAAGGTCCACCGCTGAGCAGGCTGGGGACCCCACCGCGCTCCCATGGGATGCTCCATTGGCCCCACCATCTCAGCATTCACGAGCAGCCTGGTACCTTGAGGTATGTAGAAAAAATGTATAAAGCTCTGTCTATGTCCAAATAATCGAATCTCCAAATCGAATCGGAGGCTTCTGATTCGATTTGGAGAAATTAATGGGTCTCCTGATTCTATTCGGATTCCGAGATTCGGCCACTGAATCGGGTTGAATCTCCTCCGAATCGAATCAGCGACCGAAGCTTTGTATGGCTCCACTGCGTAGCAGCTGCCTGGATAGACGTGCACTGAGTTTTCAAGGGGAGTGACAGCTCCTTGCGCAGACTAAAAATCATTGCTCTTGCCAGACCAGCGGTAAGAGTGGGCATGCTGGGTGTCAAATATTTTTGGAGTTAAGGTGATTTCTTCTCAGTAGCCATAATGTTGCAACTAATTTTTACACATAAGCAGCTGTTGCAGACATGTTAGTGAGCTTGAAAAGAGGAAATGTAGCTTATGGGGCACTCTGTTAATTTTGTTCAAGTCTTTACATCAAGATTTGGATGCCCTTCAAAATGATACATTCTAGTTCAGTGTTTCTCAACTTTTTTAGACTCAAGGCACCCCTCAGAAAATGCAAGCTCTTCACCTTTGCTCATTTTTTGACTATGGAAA